TTTGCAGAGAAAACTGCTGATTCTGGGCATTTGTCCCTGGAAGTTTTATACCATTATAAAGGGAGCCTCTATAAAACATATGTAGCTCTTATGCCCAAAGGAGCCATACTTGGGAACCCCTGTTAGGGACCCACTAGGCAGTGCCACACTCTCTGACACACCAAGGATGAAGGAAGGATTATTTATTCAGGCAACATGCCAGCAAAGTAAGGCCTGGATCACACTAATGCAACTTCAGATGTGACTTGAGTCGCCCAGAATCGCATGACAATGAAAAAAAAATTATTCGCTATGGTGTCAGCTCACCTCAAGGCAGCACAGTACAGTGCATTCTTGGAAAAGGGTCCAATTCTACTTTGATGCGATTGCAGGAGCCCCATAGAATTCAATAGAAATGCACTAAAAAGGCATGTACATGCATTTGTTTATGTGTTTTTGCCACATTTTGTGCAGTTTGTTAGGGCTCCTTAATTACCAACATTCAGCCACCTTCCCCTACCAAAAAATGCAGTAGTATCAAAAATGTGTTAAAAACACAACTAAGCACGCCTGTATATGTTCATGGACTGTCCTACTTCTGTTTCTTTTTATGTTTTTGAAAACAATAAAAAGTTTGTACAAGAAAAACACAACGAAGTTGCACTACATCATTTCACTAAAAATTGGATCAAATCACAGCTGCATTAGTGTAAACCTAGCTGTAAGGCTAGGTTCACACCTGTATTTGTGCCTTTTATGTGTTTTCTGGTACATTGTTGCAGTGAGATTTTCATGCGTTCAAGCACCTTTTTGATGCATTCATGTTTTATGTGCCACTTAGGGAAATAACTCACAGTTCAATGCAGTCAAAGAGGTGGCTGTGGAGAGATGCACAAATCATCTGTTTCAAAGGGTGAAGTGCTGCTTGGCCAGGAAACCATAGAGAAACCATATTTCTCTTACATTCATCTCCAGGCTATGGTACCACTCGATCGAGCGCCACCTACAGTGGAGAAAACAGGCTGCACCCGCCTACACCCCCCCCTTTTTTTTTTTTAACCGCTTGCCCTCCAGAGGAGTTACCCCCCTTCCTGACCAGGCCATTTTTTGCAATACGGCACTGAGTTACTTTCACTGATAATTGCGCGGTCATGCAACGCTGTACCCAAATTAAATTTATGTTCTTTTTTCCCCACAAATACAGCTTTCTTTCAGTGGTTGAATTTTATTGAAAAGTAAACACATTCTTAAAAAAAACAAATGATATGTATATATCACACTTATATCTAAACCTTGTCACAGCTTTCTTTCTCACCTCTGCATTTTTTATTTTTTGCGCTATAAACAAAAATACCTGAGAATTTTGAAAGAAAAACAATATTTTTGACTTTTTGCTATAAAACATATTCAATAAAAAAAATTTAAAAATAAAAATACTTCATACATTTAGGCCAAAATGTATCCTGCTCCATGTCTTTGCTAAAAAGAAATCCCAATAAGTGTACAGTATATTAATTGGTTTATGTGAAAGTTATAGCATTTACAAATGGCGGTATATATGTTGGGATTATTATTTATTTATTTATTTGTTTATTTATTTATAGTAGTAATGGTGGTGATCAGTGACTTATAGTGGGGCTGCAGGACTGCGGCGGGTATTCTGACACTGGAGGGGAAACTGGCTAACTGTGTGACACAGTGATCAGTGCTAATAAAAAGCACTAAGGCTACGTTCACACTAGCGTTGTGTGCAGGCGGCAGAGAGGCGTTTGGGAAGCGTTTTTACCGCTTCCCAAACGCCTCTGCCAATTCTGCACATTACAGCACATGGTGCTGTTCTAACAGGAGCGTTTGCATCGCGTTGCGTCGTGGCAAAACGGACGCCTCTGGTCGAGGAGGGGTTGAAGCCTCCTATTCTCGTCTATGGTGCCGCTCCGCAAACGCCTGGCCAGGCGTTTGCGGTGCAGTTGCGACGCGGTTGCGGGGCGTTTGCGGAGCGGTAACACCACTCAAACTGCATTATAGGCTTTTGTGGGGCGTTATTAACGCTCCGCAAACGCCTAGCAACCGCCGCTAAACCGCCATGCGACGTTTGCGGAGCGTTTGCCGAGCGTTAAAAAACGCTCCGCAAACACCAGACCAACGCTTGCCAAACGCTATAGGGGTGTTTGGCAAGTGTTGCTAAAACAGCCAAGTGTGAACGAGCCCTAATACAGTACTAATGACACTGAGCAGGAAGGGGTTAAAGCGGAGCTCCAGTCTCCTTGGCAGTTTTCTCCAAAAGGCACCCTGTGATTCTCTTTAGTTGCACAATATAAATAGGATACTGTTATATGTGTATTTCTTACTTGTAAGTATGACATTCATCACAGGATCCCAGCAGACAGGCAGCGGCCATTACTAGTGTGGGCATCTGAAGCCCGCTCCTACTTGCTTCTGGGATTCCATGTAGCTGGCTACCCAGCATGCACCTCCCGATTTTGCGCCTGCGCAGTAAGGACAGCGCAGTGCACTGTGTTGCTTACAGATTGCCATAACAATGGCAGTGTTGGTGGAAGTTCCCACCCCGTTGTGATGGCAACCTGCCAATCAACCCCTAGAAGGAAGGCAAGTGCAGTCTGAAGATTCCTGAGATAGATGACGGTGGTATCCCAAAAGCCCTAGGGAATCGCCTAATGAGGACATCGCCTAGGCGTCCAGGACGGAAGTGTAGACTATATAGAAAAATAAGGTATTTAGAAAAAATATAAATAAATAAATAATTGCCATTACAGACTGTTCTGCGGGGTGAGCATTGTGTTGCAAGGAACATATAAAAATGGGTGGAACTCCGCTTTAACATCTGGTGTGATCAAAGGGTTAACAGTGTGCTGTGTGTGTGCTTTACTGTGTGTTGTGTTTTACTTGGGAGACATGCTGTGCAGAGAGATACAAAGCAGCATGTCCTTGCTGACATGGGAGAGGCCTGTGTTGTTTACACACAGATCTCTCCCCCCTCAGCTCTGCTAATGATCACAGAGTCCCGCCCAGGACCCGGTGATTGACATATCTAGCAGCCAATAGCAGCGCGGGTAGGGCAGTCCCTACCCGGGAATGCAAAATCACATATATATATACACACACACACATGATTTTGTGCAGGGGGGCGGCTCTTATGCTGTCCTCGGCATCGCAATACACATGATATGATAGGAGGATGACCATCATACTCCACTTTACACTTTACATCCATTTTGTCTTGTATAATAGCAATGGGAAAGCAGTGCAACAAGACAGTGGCTAGCCCAAAGTCAGTAAACAGAAGTCGTTCTTCATCATTACTGCCCCCAAGCTCCTTTCTGATTGGCCAGACAGGAAATCCCTCCTGGGTCAAGGAACAAAGCTGCGATTCCATGACAACCAGGGGTTATCAACAAAAAAAGAATGCAGACATTGTGATGAATGTGTTTGTGTTCTTTATGTTTGCAACATGATGTGTACACAAGCTTTGCTACCAGTAAATAGCCCGATCTTCCAGTGATTGTCATTTCCGCGATAAGCGATATAGATGGCAGTATTGGCTGTGTCAATGTTTGTCTCGTATGTCTCTCCGCTTTCTCTAGTGACTGTGGAATTATTAGCCAGTTCAGTCAGAAATCTAGTAAATGGGGGATTACTATAAACTAAGCTCAATCTATTGTAATATTATGGAAATGTAAAGAGAATTGTGTGTAAAATACATAATTTGGATGGATATTCTCCTCCAAGAGCACCTAAACCCAAAAACATAAATGTAATATATTGCAGCTTGCCAGTCCTTACACCTGATGGCTGCATTCGTTTTATTTTTTCCTCTCAGGTTTTTTTCCTTATTTTCATCTGATGAATCTGCCAGCAACACTTCCTGTCTTAGGATGACAACGCTCAGCTGTACTGTATCAGGGCAGGACTGCAGGACTCCACCGCTTCCTCTTCTTCATAACACAAAGGGGTGCGGTTCTTAAAGGTAGCTGGTGACAATGTAACTGGTAACAGTTAGCACAGAGAGAAAACATAGGATGATTCAGCTCCAGGGGGGGGTACTGACCATTCGAGCACTCGGGCACTGCCTGAGGGCCTGGGGTCAGTAGAGGGCCCCATGAGATGCCCCTGGTACCTTTCATTGGCTTTTTCATAGGCTTTTTTGGGTGTGGGCGAGGACACAGGGGCCCCATAATCCCCTATTGCCCGGGGGCCCCATGACTTGTCAGTCCACCCCTGTGGCAATATCAACAGGTATTTTTTTTGCACATACTGTATGAAGCAGATTTAACAAAATGCTTTTGATGGTAAAGTGTTACTAAACCCACAACAGTAAAATCAGTCTGTATATGTAGTAAAGCATGTTTGTTATATTTACTGTGGAACCTAAGGGGTTAATCCTCTGCATTGTTTGATCCTGTCTTCTCTGATCCTCCCCTTCTTCCATGTTCTCCATTTCATCCCCTGATAGAATACAGCCTCAGTGACACTCTGCACATGTTCAGTTTGGTGTGTACTGCTAGATAGTTTCTTCTTTTTCTTGGGAGGGTGCATGTGATCAGCACAGGGCCAATTAGCGCTGTCCAGACACAGGGTCAGGGGTTATGCAGTTTCATAGGGCAGTGAGAGAATCAAAACTCCTCCTACAAGATTAACCAGTGATTGGCTGAACACTGATAGAAGTCACAAGACTGCTCTAACTGCTGATGAGAAAAGGTATTTAGCAGTTTATGTTTACTAAAATAATTGCCTTTCCATGTTCTTTGTACTGTGGGAGATCAGATATAGTGAATGCAGGGTCTGGGGTTTAGTTAAACTTTAACCGCGTCCCACCCGCCATATAGTAAAATGACAGACGCAAGGTGGTTTTCTCGTTCTGGGAGGGCGTCATATGACGTCCTCCCATTCTAACCGCGCATGCGCGGCTATGAGCGGTGTGTTGTGTGTGTCCCTAGGGCACAGCGGATCACCGATCAACAGAAAGAGCCGAAGATTTCGGCTCGGTCATGTGATCAGCTGTGTCCAATCACAGCTGATCACATGTAAACAGGGAAATGCCAGTTATCGGCATTTCTCTCCTCACGAGCTGTCAGCGTGACAGCTCGAGAGGAGAGGAGAACCGGTAATCGGCATTCCTCAGAGGAGACATATGCACTGATCATCAGGGCACTGATGATCAGTGTGCCCTGATGATCTGTGTAGCCCCAGCAGTGCCAGCTGTCAGTGCTCATCCATGCCACCTGCCAGTTTCCATCAGTGCCACATCAATGCCACATTTCAGTGGCTACCAGTGCACATCAATGCCACATATCAGTGCCCATCTGAGCTGTCTTTCAGTGTCAGCCATCAGTGCCAGTCAGTGCCACCTATCAATGCCAGTCAGTGCCACCTATCAGTGCTGCCAATCAGTGCTGCCTATCAGTGCCAGTCAGTGCCGCCTATCAGTGCCAGTCAGAGTCGCCTATCAGTGCCTGTCAGTGCCGCCTATCAGTGTGCATCAGTGTCCGGCAGTGCTGCCTATCAGTGCCGCCTAACAGTGCCAGTCAGTGCCACCTAACAGTGCCAGTCAGTGCCGCCTATCAGTGCCACCTATCAGTGCCATATATGAGTGCTGCCTTTCAGTGCCCATCAGTGAAGGAGAAAAATCACTTATTTACAAAATTGTATAACAAAAACTAAGAAAAAAAACGTTTTTTTTCAAAATTTTCAGTGGTTTTTGGTTTTTTTAAAAAAAAAAAATAAAAAACCCAGAGGTGATTAAATACCACCAAAATAAAGCTCTATCTGTCACAAAAAAAGTGATAAAAATGTCATATGGGTACAGTGTTGCATGACCGCGCAATTGTCATTCAAGATGCAACAGCGCTGAAAGCTGGAAATTGGCCTGGGCAGGAAGGGGGTATAAGTGCCCTGTAGGCTAGTGGTTAAAGAACTTCACTCTCTCAATAAATATGGGTTATTCTTAATCCTTATGCTTCTAGCATTAGTAAATAGATAGGAATGTATATTATTATTATTATTATTATTATTACAGGATTTATATAGCTCCAACAGTTTGCTCAGTGCTTTACAATATAAAGGGAGACAATACAGCAACAATACAGTTCAATACAAGGCCCTGCTCCTTGGAGCTTACAATTGTATATCATATTTTCCTTCTTAGATTGTAAGCTCTAACAAGCAGGGTCCTCTGATTCTTCTTGTACTAAAAATTGTATTGTAACTGTATTGTAACTGTAATGTCTACCTTCATTATGTAAAGCGCTGTGCAGACTGTTGGCACTATATAAATCCTGTATAATAATATTAATAATATAGTCATAATATATACTTGTTTTAAACGGGTTTTTTTACATTTCTTCAGTTACTTCCTGGTTTCAATGCCTAGGCAAATGATGTCATACATTCCCAGCAGTCTTCAGGAGAGGAGGGAAGGTTCTCAGTTCAGTCTATGCCTGCGCTAAGGGCAGATGGATTACAGGAAGTAAATGCCACATGAATAATTTGCTCTTACTCAAAATGGCCATGGCCGGAACTACCAGGGGGTATTTTTCAAAAATATTTCTCAGTAAAATAAAGCATGGAGACATAGATGGATGGGGGAGTATGGTTTGAATAATAAAAATGAATTAAATTGCATTTTTGGAAAAGGTGTCTTTCTGCGCCTCCCAATCAATAATTCAAACCAATTATCTCATCTCTATGAATAATAAACCACAAGAAATAAATAAAATAAGGAAAGTCCATATATCACTAACAGTGAATAAACATTAATGTCAATTGGTGTAAAGTGTCCATGCATATAACATGAATTTCTTCCCCAATTGCCATACAGTATATCACTGCATTCCACCTCTTGTGATCCTCCACAAAAACATTCGTTGTGATACCCACCACCATTCGCCACTGCGCTCACCTCCAAGATTGGACCAGTATAATTTCTCTCCTTCCAGTGCAGCTGCAGGTATTTATTCATAAGGTGCTCAAACACATGATGGATAAGTTCCCATACAGTATGTTGTGATCTGGCCCTTTAAATCACGATCCCATCATCTTCTCTATTGTGCTCACATAAAGTAAAAGGTATTCCATAGTGAAGTATGTACGTATTAAAACATGATTTGTTAATAAAAATACATTTACTAGTAAAGGTAAATACCGGGACATCATGCAGACAGAGGGGCCACTGCTCCTGCATCACTTCCGGTTTCAGTATCACTAGCTTCCGGCTTGGCCTAGACGTGTGTCGTCATGCCACATGACTTCTTCAGTAGGTCCTAACGTTGCTTTCTCTTTCCGAGTATGCGTGCACCCCCGCTGCCCCCTATGCTGTCCAGGGAGAGAAGAGAGAACACAGCAAGTAAAAGCACTACATTTTACAAACACGTTAGATTAGCACATTCAACCCTTTGATCGCCCTTATGAACCCTTTGATCACTCCTTCACCCAACCAGTGCCATTAGTACAGTGTAAGTATAGAGAATTTTTCCCCGGTCATTGTATTACTGCCACTAGCGACATCAGATAGCGTCAGGGTCTGTAAGCTCTTCTCCCAGCCAGGGTCAGCTAGCATTAGATTACCTGTACGATATTGCACTCGTGCTATAGGTTGCTGATCACCACCATTACTAGTATAGTGTTTGTACAGATCAATATATTGATCTCAAACAGACTTATACTAGTGCCTCAGTATTGTGTCCCCAAAACACAGTGTTAGCAGGATCAGCCCCGTTCGCTGTCAGCACTAGCATTTAGCCCCTCCACTGTTTTTTACAGAAGATTTGTATGAATTGATTGTGGGCCAAAGCAATTTACACACACAACAATACATTGCTGCCCACTCAAATTCAGCTCTTGTCAGACAATTCGCATGGAAACCAATCATGGTTTCTGAATGTAAAACATTTTGGACCTAACCCTCAACATGAGCATTACAAAAAAGAATGAATTGCGGTCTTATTGGTCCACAGACCCGACTCATCTCATGCTCATGTTCTCTGCTGTTACGGTCTCACTGGCTGACCATAGAGCTGATCGGAGACCGGAATGCCTCCAGTTATCTCTATGGTCTAAGAGAACAGAAGCTGCGAGCATTTCATCATTTCTGTTTCGCCAGGTATAAAAAGCACCATTTTAAAATTGGGAAAGCATCTGATCACACCGATCTTGGAGTGATCAGATGCTTTAAGGGCAGAGGAGAGATCTAGAGTCTAATAGACCCCAGATTTCTCAGAAAAGAATATCTGTCACTGCCTATTGCTATCACAGGGGATATGTACATTCCCTGTGATAACAATAAAAGTGATCCAAAAAAACAAAAAAGAAAGTTACAGTGTAAAAATAAAAAAAGCAAAATAAATAATTAAAAAAACTTCACCCTCACCCCCAACCCTGTGCTCGCACACAAAGGCAAATACAAGCGACGGTCCCGTGTCCGTATGTAAACAGAGATTGCACCATGCATGTGAGGTATCACCACGAACATCAGGTCCTGGGTAGTAATCCTAGCACTAGACCTCCTGTGTAAACCTAAAGTGATGACTTGTAAAGGCTTTTAAAGTGTAGCCTATGGATATTAAAAACGTACGTAGTTTGTCACTGTTGGACGTGCGCAATTTTAAAAGCATGTCATGTTTGGTATCCATTTACTCGACGTAACATCATATTTTATCAAATAATTGGGCAATATATTGTGTTTTTGTTCATTAAAATTCTAAAAAGTGACTTTTTTCAAAACAATTGCGTTTGAAAAATTGCGCGCAAATACTGTGCAATATAAAAAATTTCAACACCCCGCGTTTTATTCTATAGGGCCTCTGCTCTAAAAAAACCTATAATGTTTGGGGGTTCAAAGTAATTTTCTAGCCAAAAAACTTTTTTCATGTAAACAAAAAGTGTCAGAAAAGGCTTGGTCTTCAAGTGGTTAGAAGAGCAGGTGGTGATGTGTGGCATAAGCTTCTAATGTTGGCCCTGAAATGCCAGGATAGTAGAAACACCCCCCAAATGACCCCTTTTTGGAAAGTAGACACTCCAAGGTATTTGCTAAGAGGTATGGTGAGTATTTTTCAGATCTCATTTGTTGCCACAATTTTTCAGAAAATGAAGAAAGAAAACGAAAATGTATTTTTTTCTTTCTCTTGTTTATGTAATCAAAAATCCTGTAACAAAAATTATGTCTGCAAAATACTCACAATGCTTCTTATATAATTCCTTGGGTTGTCTGCTTTCCAAAAATGGGTCATTTGGGATGGATGCTTGCACTATCCTGGCATTTCAGGGTCTCTGAATCTGTGATAGGTAGTGAGGAAGTGATATGAGGAAATATGTCCTCTGAAAGCCTGGAGGTGGTCATTGGATTTTCGGGGCCTGTATGTAGCTAGGCTGTCAAAAAGTCTCTCACATGTGGTATCCCCATACTCGGGAGAAGTAGCAGAATGTGTTTTGGGGTGTAACTCCACATATACCCATGGCATGCGTGCAACACAAATGACAACTTTGTGTAAAAAAAAGTTTTTCAGCATTTTCTAAACATTTGTGTCAATAACTAAAATCTTCCATGGACTCAACATGCCTCACAGTAAATTCCTTGGGGTGTCCACTTTCCAAAAAGGAGCCATTTGGGGGTTTTCTGTACTGCCCTGGCATTTTAGCACCTCATGTGATAGGCAGTCATAGTTTGTAGATGCTATAACTTTCACACAAACCAATTAATATACATGTATTGGGATTTTTTTTTTTTACCAAAGACATGTAGCAGAATACATTTTGTCCTAAATTTATGTAATAACTTTAAGTTTACTGGATAATTTTTATAACCGAAAATAGAAAATATTGTTTGTTTTTTTTTTAATTTCGGTCTTTTTTTGTTTATATCGCAAAAAATAAAAAACCCGGTAGTGATCAAATACCACCAAAAGACAGCTCTATTTGTGTGAAAAAAGGACATACATTTTGTTTGGGTACAGCGTTGCATGACCAATTACCAGTTGAAATAGCGCAGTGCCAAACAGCAAAAAAACGGCTAGGTCATTAGGGGGCAAATTCTTCCGGAGGACAAGTGGTTAAAGGAGAAGTCTCAGTTTGATTTTTATAAATGAGTTCTGTTCCCCAGCAGAGCTTCACCTCGGATCTAACGCAACTGTACTTGCAGAGCACAGTATATTTGCCATTAGTAAATCAAGCCCATGGTGTCACTCAGCCCCTCACATGCTATGTCTTTGACAGCATCAGGACACAGAGGAAGTGTTTGCCACCATAAAATGTAGATTTCATAAGGGGGCTGAGTGGCACTATGAGCTGCATGGTGTCACTGGTAAATGGTCAGCAGGTTCCATTGTTGATTGCTGACTGGAAGGGAGGTAAAGTTCAAACATGGTGCTCTGCATTTCTACTTGTTTCAAATTGCTGTTTA